CCTCCTCCTCCTCCTCATCGTCCTCCTCGTCCTCGTCATCTTTCTCCTCCGCCTCCTCCTCCTCTTCCTCCTCCTCCTCCCCCCCCCATCCTCCCTCTCCTATGGTAGTGGTGGTGGAACATTGGCCCATCACATCCGAGCTGCCATCAGCGCCAGGGGCACCAACAGCACAACTGCGAGAAGGGCAGCCAGCGCGTGCTCTGCGCGGGGCGAGCGGTCCAGCACGCGGACGTTGAGGGCGTCCTCCATGGCCTGTGTCACTGTCGGGCCGCCGGCCTGATACTGCAACATGAACTTGAAAGCTAGCTGCAGCTCCTGCTCCAAGCTGAACGTGCTCCGTGCCGCAAAAGAGCGGGGGTGCGCACCTGTGCCGTCTGGATCCAAGCGGCGAAACAAGTGAAAACGGAGGAAACCAATATGCTCAGGATTGGACGGCATAAACTTGCCAGCATCACGCCAAGCCTCGTAATGCAAAGTCGGGTCTACCACAGCCGGGGAGCCGCCTGCAGTGGGTCGGCGGCACTTGTGCGGGAACGCGCGGTGCAGCCAGCGGCCCAGCCGCCGACCGTGAATCTCGACAAGGCCGTCCCTGGACCTACGCCCCAGGGCGCGCAGCTGAGACTGCAACTGTTTGCGCTTGTTCGCCGTGGCCATCTTGCCTCCCTGGATCAGGCTGGACAGCGCCGCCCACGCCTGCTTCGGCGCGACGCGGGGCCCTGCTGCAGCGGCCTCCAGGCGAGGCAGAACGTTGGTCTCGCACTCGTCCGGGCAGCACCGCAGCGCCGGGTGCGCGCCCGGCTGCAAGCAGTTGGCCATGCCAGATACGTAGTTCGGGATGAGTACGCCGGAGCCGCTCTGCTCGTCGGCGAGCGCGCCCACTGCGCCGAGGTACTCTGGAGTTTCGTTAATAATCCAGCCCTTCAATTGGGCCCCGTACGCCCGCCGGAACTCCACCTGCCCAGAGCCCTCGGGGTCCATGGACGACAGCAGGCCCCGCACTTGCGGGCACCAGCGCCGGGTGTGACGCTCGATCAACCCTTTGCGGAGGTGGCGCATGGCGCCGAACGCGCTGTGCGTGGAGGTACCCGGATTCTGGGCCTTCTGGGCCTTCTGGGCCGCCTCGGCCACCACCAGCTCCAGCGGCTCCCCCACCGGGTCGGTGGACATACCCGTGCGCAGGCTCGCGAGCTCCTCCTTGGCCTGGCTCACCATCTGCTGCCCATACCGCCCCCTCAGCACGACTGGGTTGCTCGTGTGGAGCAGCACGGCGTAGAACATCAGGGCCTTCTCGTCCTGAGAGAGAAACGCTTGGCCTCCGGCCTGCGCCGCGTCGTTCTTGACAGTCAGCACCTTCGACAACGTGACGGCCCGGCTCATGAGGGCGGCGTCGTGGCTGGCCACAAGCTCCTCGAGGGCGAGGACGACCTCGGCCGCTCGGCGCAGGGTGAAGCCTCGCCCCGGCTCCGGGGACAGAACTGCGAGCAAAGGGCCCGATTTGGGGAGCTCGGTGCTAGCAGCAAGCAGCTCCGAGGCGCGCAGCGTCGCCGCCTGGCTGGAGTTGGGGCCGTCGCGCAGCCACGGTGCCAAGTCGAGGCCCTTCACGACCCAACCGTGCTCCGCCTCGAGGTAGCGCCTGGCCAGGTAGCGGACGCCGCTCGAGTCTGGCAAGCCCTCGCCGTCTCGTGGCAGCGCCATGTAGGTGGAGCGTAGGCGGTCCTCCAGGCGGCTCACGGGGTCTGGGGCCTCAGGTAGCTGCATGGCGCCGGAAGCTGTCGACGGCAGAGTAATCAGAATGACGAGTGCCAGTACGCTCGCGGACATCGTGAGCATCCCCTTCAGCGCTGGCACGCGTGGATCGAAAGGGTGCAGGTGACTGTGCCTGCACGTGGGTTCGTGTTCCCCTGGAGCCAGGGTGGCTATACGGGAGGGGAAGGGCAGGAGCAGGGAGGGAGGCTCCTCGCTCGTGGCTGCCGCGCACCCCCCGAAGGAGAAGCAGGCGCGAGCGACGGGCACGTCCACAGCCACGCCCTCGCGGTCTGGATCCAGAGGGGCGACCCCGTGGACGCGCAGCCGCATGTAGTTGTACGTTCCGCGCGGGGCATCCGTACAAAGACGCCCTGTCGAATCGCGGCCGGGACGTCCAGACCGCGAGGCCGCAGGCACGTGCACGCTGGGGAACGCAAGACGCTCGGACTCCTCTGTGGCCCCCCTCTTGCCTCCTGCCGAACTCGGAGTGCCCCTCCCCTCAGGACGCCATCTCCGGCATCCCGAAGGTCACAGAAGAAAACGATGGACACCTCGGATTGCGCCCATCATGTATTCCCCGCCAGTGCGGAAGGGTGGGCGCGCAAAATGGGGGAACAACCAGATACCGATGCCGCTGCTCCCCAAACTCTCTTGGGCCGGTGCTTCAACCAGGATTCAAAGGCGAAGGCGGCCGTGGCGACGAGCGACGACGGGGCCCACAGGGGGGCCCAAGGAAGCGAAGACGAGGGGTCGGCATCGACATGTCCTTCCCCAAACCCCCGACGTCATGAAAATTTTTCATGACGTCGACCCCCAGGGGTCTGAACCCATTCCCTGGGACCTGGTGTTCATCCTGAGCCGTTTTCTGACGGTCCCGGGACCCCCAGAGGCCCGAAAGATGGGAAACCTCTCGTCGTGATTTTTTGATGACTCGAGTGGGTCTGGGCTCCGACCTGGATCTTGGGCGCCCGAATTATCCAGGGTAACTCGGGCCTGGGGTAACTCGGGTTCGGATTCCCGACAAAAACGAACCCGAGTTAGCCCTGACCCAACTTACCCCTGGTGATTTGGGGCTCTGGACGCCCGAATTCTCCAGGGTAACTCGGGCCCGGGGCAACTCGGGTTCGGATTCCCGAGAAACGAACCCGAGTTAGCCCTGACCCGAGATACCCCTGATGATTCGGGGCTCTGAGGATCCCCTCGAAATCTGCCACGGACGCCAGGGCCCGGCATGGCCGGCCTCTCTCGCCCCACGCACACACGTCATGATGCCCGCCCGGGCGGGGGCAGGGCCAGCGCCCCCTGGCCTCATGGTCGGGCGTGTCCTCCTACAGTCGGGGCGTTGACCTAAGGAACCCTAAATAAGGAACGAGGCCCCTTTTTCCCATAAGTCAAACTTCGATTTCCCATCGAAACCCTAGGCAAAACCAAAGGCGAACTGCAAAACAACTAAGGAACACCGAGCCCCTCCCCAACGAAAAGGGTTCCTTCTTCAGGCCCCGACTGTACAGGCGCACCTTGGAAGAACGTGTTTTACACATGTCGGCGGTGCCCGGTGCGGAGCGAACCCCCCCCAGCCAACTCCATCCTGGGGGGATTCGAGCCGGCGGCACCGCCGGTGCGAGCCAGCACGAACTCCCCCGGTAAGCACGAACTCCCGCAATAGCCGGCACGAATCCCCCCGGTAAGCACGACGCCCCCGGAATGCAGGAAACCCCCCAGTATGCACGAATCTCCACCCGGATGCGTGACAGCCCCCAGGACGTGCCAGAACCGGCGCCGCTCTTAAGTACGCGGCCGTTCCCCCTCGCCGTCCACCTTCCGCACCTTCCGTACACGACCTTCCGCCCTCCTGCGCTATGTTTTTCGCTTGTAAGTTATATCGAATTTCAAAAGGTTTTCATCAGTTTCGCGGAATTGATTGGATTTCAAACGAATTCCAAAAACACGCAAAGACATTCTGAGACATCGTTGCCTTTCACGTATATGTGCCGTCATCTCTCTGCTCGTCGGCATCGTTCTCGTCGAAGTCACCATCATCGTCATCGTTATCATCACCGCCATGACCATCATCACATTCAACATCATCATGGCCATCACCATTACCAACCGTCCGAACAAACATGCGGCAACCACCATCTTCGTCATCATCACAATCATCAGCCCAATGTTCGCCATCATCATGTGCATCAGCACGGCCGTCATCACAATCACGGCCATCACCATAATCACCATCCTGGGCATCATGATTGTCATCCTATCACAAACATAAACTTGGCCGTCCCAACCATCATCATCAGCAGGGCCACCATCATCATCATAAGATTCACCATCGCCGACGCACAACATCAGCATCGCACGCATCATCGTGGCCGTCATCACCACCAGCGTCGCCATCACCGCATTCGTCATCATCGTCATCATCTTCACCATCGGCACCGCTACCTTTTTTATAGTCATCGTCAGCGTCGCCACAGTCATCGTCGTTTCATCCCGTCATCACATGGCCCACGACACTCCAAGATTGCCCAAGATGGCTTCCGGCATGCTTCAGGATACCCTCAAGACCACTCCAAGACGGGCCCAAGTGGCCTCGGAGACTCCGACGGAGGAAACGGTGGATGAGCCCCCCGACTCGTCATCACGATGTGGATGGTGCGGGAGGGGTAGGGCGGGCTATAGGGCGCAACATTCTCCCCTTTTCAGGGAGGGGTTCACCCGTCTTTGCCCCCTCCCCCGGACCTGGACGGATGGTTTCGCGAGTGGCCAGCCAAAGAAAAAGGAACGCAAGGCAGGTGGGCCGAAGGATGGGGAGCCAGCCGCATACCCCCGCTTTCATACGTGAAAAACAGTGCGCGGGGTGCGTATTGCTCAGAACCCCACTGCCCCCGCGCAGTGCTGAGCGTGTGTGTGTGTGTGTGTGTGTGTGTGTGTGTGTGTGTGTGTGTGTGTGTGTGTGTGTGTGTGTGTGTGTGTGTGTGTGTCTGTGTGCGTGTGTCTGTGTGTGTGTGTGTCTGTGTGTGCGTGCGTGCGCGCGTGCGGGCGTGCGTGCGTGCGTGTGCGTGTGCGTGTGCGTGTGCGTGTGCGTGTGCGTGTGCGTGTGCGTGTGCGCGTGCGTGTGCGTGTGCGTGTGCGTGTGCGTGTGCGTGTGCGTGTGCGTGTGCGCGTGCGTGCGCGCGTGCGCGCGTGCGCGCGTGCGGGCGTGCGCGTGCGCGCGTGCGCTTGCGCGTGCGCGTGTGCGTGTGCGTGTGTGCGTGTGCGTGTGCGTGTGCGTGTGCGTGTGCGCGTGCGTGCGTGTGCGTGTGCGATGCGCGTGTGCGTGTGCGTGTGCGTGTGCGTGCGTGTGCGTGTGCGTGTGCGTGCGTGTGCGTGTGCGTGTGCGTGTGCGTGTGCGTGTGCGTGTGCGCGTGCGTGTGCGTGTGCGTGTGCGTGTGCGTGTGCGTGCGTGTGCGTGTGCGTGTGCGTGTGCGTGTGCGTGCGTGTGCGTGTGCGTGTGCATGGGCGTGGGCGTGCGTGTGCGTGTGCGTGTGCGTGTGCGTGTGTGTGTTTGTGTGTGCGTGTGCGTGTGCGGGTGCGTGTGCGGGGCGGGCGGGGCGGGGTGGTGGCGCGTGTGCGCGCGCGTGGGTGGGCGGGGCGGCATGGGGTGGGTGGGTGGTGGTGGGGCGAGCGGCGCTCGGTCCTTCGGCGGAGCCCCCTACGGGGCCGCGAAGCGCGTGAGGGGCGTGCCGAAAAAGGGCGCGGGTGCTCGCGAGGGCTTCGCCGCTGGCACCTTCGGCAGTGATCCTTCTGGTGCCGCGGAGCGTGCGAGAGGCGCGCTGAAATGAGCGCGGTGTGGGGTGGGGGGGGGCGCGAGCGGTGGCGCTGGAGCATTCGGTGGATTCCCTATGTGGCAGCGAGGCGTGTGAGGGATGTGCAGACATGAGCGGGGGTGATGCGCGCGGGCGGGCGTGGGGGTGCGCGTGCTGGCGGTGGCGCTGCGGCCTTCGGTGGATCTCCCGATGAGGCCACGACGCGCGTGGGGGGCGCGCAGACATGGGCGTGGGGGGCGCCTGGGGGCGGCGGCGCTGGGGCATCCAATGTGGCTCGTGGAATGGGTGGGGTGCATGCGTAGGGCGGGCGCATGCGGGCTGCACCACTGCGGCATATGGCGGCGCCCTCTACGCGGCCGCGCAGCGCGCGAGGGGCGCGCGACATGCGGCGCGGGCGCACGCGGGCGGCGCCGCGCGGAGCAGTCCCAGCCAGAACTGTTCTGAGAACATCTCGTGCAGGCCACAGAAGATTCTTAGAACATCCTCTGGTGGGCTTGCAGGGCAGCCGGGGCGCTTCGCCCCTGCTTGGCTCCCCTCCTCTGCCTCTCCGCGCGCCTGCCCCGCGTGGGGCGCAGCCGTGGCCCACCGCGCCTCGGCCTCCGATCTCGCAGGGGCCGCGGCCGCAGGGCCCGAGCCGCGGCTGTGTGCTGCTCGCTCATGCGGGCAGAAGCGACAGCCGACGACAGCCGACGCCGACGCCGACGCCGACGACGCCGACGCCGACGCCGACGCCGACGCCGACGCCGCCGCCGCCGACGACGCCGACGCCGACGCCAACGACGCCGACGACGCCGCCGCCGACGACGACGCCGCCGCCGACCACGTCGACGCCGACGCCGACGCCGTTGCCGACAGGGCCCTCCCGACGGAGGGAGGCGCCCCTCCCTCCCGACGGGCGGGGTGAAGCTGCACCGCCACGGCTCGGCGGCGCGCCGGGCGGGGGGGAGGGGGGGGGGAGAAGGGGGGGGAGAGACGGGGCAGCCCTCCCGAAAGGCAGGCGTGGGGCTCTCCGGAAGCTCACGGCCTCGGGAGGAATGCGAGAAGGGATGTCTTCAACTGGGCTGCGCTGTGGCTGCCCTGGACGTGGCAACCAGGTAGCGGCCTGGCTCTGCCAAGCGCTCTGAGCCACGCAAGCTACGGAGACAACGCCATTAAATATCAAAATCGTCTGCAACGCCAGGGTGTTCACTTGATGTTTGACCCGTGGCTCTCCGGGGAAGCCCTCGTGGCCTCCTGAGGCGACCTTTACGACGACGACGGCGACGCTGACGACGGCGACGGCGACGCCGACGCCGACGGCGACGGCGACGGCGACGCCGACGCC